TCCGTATGCAGACTTTGCAAGCTACTCGAAAGCAGCAAAATATTTCTTCGACAGCTTCATCAATTCAGATTATGCACGGCACTAGAACCTCAAAATTAACCATTTTCTATTGCCTTAAGTATTTTTCTAATTTACTGAAATATAGACAGTTTTAGTGTATTTGTCGCACACCTATTAATCTGCAATCTAAAGAAAAGATGTGCGCGCCATGGTTAAATAGGAGAGTCATAAAGAATTAGCAAAACTTACAAGGAAAAGATATATACTTGATGACCGTGGCCATTCATGATGATTTTTATGCCAAAGTGCCTTTGAATGCTGATTCGAAAACTGTCTTCCCTATCTGCGAAACGGTAACCTGGATGAAGTCATGGTCATTTTTCTAATGATGAATGGCGAAGGATCAAAATCATCAGTGAAAAATTTTCTTTCCTTTCTAACTCTGAATATAATTTGGACAGCTATTTATAAATACCACAGTACTCTGCCTAAGGTTTCGATCAATGGCATCAAACGGTCAACTAGACCAAATTTGGCGATTTCAGTTTTCCAAAAGTGGGAAATTTTGTAGAAAGCAAATTCATACTCTTTAAAAAATCGTTTCGCATATAACGAGTATTTAAAATCAACTCTCCTGATGCATCTTATGGTACACATGCATTCTTGAATGGCCACGGTCCAGTATCCAGTTAGTCACCGGTCTGATATTTGGTGGGCTACAATGTTTTTTTTTCATTATTTTGTAGACGTATCCTCCCATACTGATCTGCCAAGAGTAATCCGTCAACTCAAGGAACCCGACGTCATGGAACTTGATGCCAGCGTTCGGATAGCGATCGCATTGTGCTAAGGGGTCCGATTTTTTGCGACATATGCCGTAAAGAACCTCTTTGTCGGGTTTTGCATGGATCATAAGTTGGGATATATAAGTGGCACGTGGCATAAACACTCCAGCAATCTTCAGCAATTCCATATTTTCTCAAAGCTCCTCCTTTGTTCTTGAAAAAAAGTAAATTTTCGCAAAAAATACTAAATAAATGATCCTAACTTTTTTGCACCCTCTGACTCGTTGGTTGCTGCATATTTTTGAAAGAACTTTGAGTGTTTGGTTCTTCCTAATCTCAGAAATATTTCAATTTTATGTAGTTGCTAAACAATTTTCAATTATATTTTACATCT